CCCTGCCCACAGCAGGCAGAGCAGGGCCAGCACCAGGCCGGGCAGCACCGCCGTCATCCTTGCTCTGGGGGCTGGAAGCGGGCAGGAGAGGCTGCACGGACCTGCCTCTTCCCACACCCACTTTTATAGCCCCCACCACGGGTAGCACCCCCTGCCCGCCCCCGCTTTATGCAACAGGTTACACAAGAGCAGGGATAACTTGTACCCGTATTAAGTGACAGTGTTGGCCCCTTCCCCATCTAATTGCCCAGTCCCAGATGAATGCAGCCTTGTGTGAGACCCAGCCCAGAGCACGTCAGGGACCAGGCGATGCCCCGTGCCTGGTGCTGTGGCTGGGGAGGGGGATGAGGGTGCCCCCAGTGCCCCACTTGGCTGTTGCCCACTGGCCCCAGGGTCTGGCAGTGCCAGGACGGATCCTGCCTCAAGGAGGAAGATGGTTGGGCCGGTGTTTTAGCCTGGTGTTGAGCCGCAGCCCAGTGCCCCCCAGAAGGGGTTGCAGCTTTGCAGACTGCTGGCAGTGAGCACAGACCCCACTCCCGAAGAGGATCCAGGCTCATGGCATGCAGAGCAGGTGGGCGGCCGGGGCTGAGCCACATCCAACACTCACAGCCGTCGCTCTGGTTCATGTCCATCCTGCCCCCACATTTTTGGAGAGACCCCCCCCAACGATTGCCCATTGCCCCATCCCCACGCTGCCAGCCTGCTCTCTGGCGGGGAAACTGAGGCAGGGAGGCTGGGGTAGCTCATGTTGTCCAAGGGGGCAGACAGGAGCAGATCCCCCCATCTTCTCCCTGGACGGGGCAGGTTTGGTGGCCAGGCAGCACTGTGGCGTGGGGTTGCAAGTGCACACGGGGTCCCACCCCGGCAGCCCCACAGCCAGGAGCTGGGATCAGCCCTGACCCCCAGTGCCAGCCCCAGCCCAGCCCACCACCACCAGCCGTGCTTCCCCCTCCCCATTGCCCCATTGGGGCTCCCCCCACGACGATCCAGCAGACAAGGGCGGGGGGCTGGTTTTATACGGGCTTTAATGGGGATGGGGGTACAG